TTTTCTTTTTTCTTTTTTCTTTTTTCTTTTCAATATTTTAATGGTATAATAATGTAGCACCTTTTCACATTTGTCTGTATACTGCCTCCAGGTCAGACAATTAGTGAGTGTATGTTTAGCTTTTCAGCTGTTTTGCTGACTCCAACTTGTGTTTAATAAGATGTAAGTTTGAAAAGTATGATACAGTCTTCTTGCTTTAAAGAGTATTCTCCCTCCCCACTTATCTTACAGATAAAGCATGCTGTCTTGTCCAGTCACAACACAACGGAAAGGTATAATAAAAGTCTTTACTGTCAATCTCTTTCTAATCTGTTTTTGGTAGTGTCTGTTCTTTCCATTTTTTTACTCTATTACTAGTACTGGATGGAGGCAGAATTGTATCGCTCTGAGCTGCATACTTGGAAGCAGACTCAACGAAAAAGAGCTGGCTCAACCCACATCATGTCTCTTCTTTATCAGCCCTTTCCCTTTTGTTTTTCTCAGCCATCCACTTGGTGATGTACTGGTCAGTCACCAGCCAGCTCTCTCCCACTTCAGTGTTCTTTCCTGCATCTTAGGTTCTACTCCATAAGCTCATAAAGTCATTGATGGAAAGCAGGCTATGACTTGTGTCATAGTAAATGGCAAGGGTATATATAAGTACTAATGAGGGGGTATTCTTTAGTCTACAATACCTGTCTGCAATTTTCTTTTTTGTAATCAATTGTATTTTTTTGATTATGTCTCTTCTTAATAAAAGTCATTGTAAATATATTCAAACTCTGTAAACTGAGGTTGAATTGTTAATCCTACTTGCTGCAAAGAGCTGCCTGGTTCCTTTTGATTATTTTGGACAAGTTCTTTTGCTCAGAGCAGCCTGTGACAGCCTATAATTTCTGTCAACTATTTTTCTGTTACTGTTATTTTTGTGTTTTCACAGGAAGAGCTTACCAAGCAATGTTTTATAGACTAGCCATTATTCTTTCACTTTCTTCAGGCAGATGGAATTGAACCCCTGTGAAAATGGCTCTGTAAAAGCAGAAATTAACCATCAAGAACAAACCCTTACTAAAAGTCTGGAATGTTTAAACCTGGAAACAAATGAGGGGAGCAGTGATGTTTCTGTTGAAGATAACACAGCAGAGGATTTGGCAGGTAAATATGTGCACCATCTTTTATCCAGAATTGTTACTGTTTAAGTGTAAATGGAGGGAAGTGTAGGCTGCCTGTGAGACTGCTGATACTTTGCTTCCCAGGAGAGGGAATGTCAGTGTATTTTAGTCTGATATCTGCCCTTGTTGATAGCTAACTTGGAACTGAATAGGGAAGGAAATTAAACATTCTTTCTTGGACAAGTGGAGGCTCCTCTCAATGCTGATTGACATGTGTAACAATACAGCCTGGCAGAGCTTGGACTCTGCTTGCACTGTGGACAGACACATTATTCCCAGAGGCCCTCCACTGGGAATGCCAGCACCTCTGCTACTATGTGGGGCTGCGGTGTCAGAAGGCGGCATTGAAGCTTTGTGTCTGTCTGGGAGGGGTTGACCTTGTAGTCGCTCTTGATTGCTCTGACAAATCTTTATGGAAAATTAACCCTTTTCCTGCAGCTAAGAGTATGATAGAAAGCACCTTATTTTCTTCCATTACTTCAGCAATAGCATGAAACTTAGAGATGTGTGTTACTTCAGTAAAACGCTGTTGAACTAATTCAATATAAAACACCATCCAACATAGCTATATTGTTAAGGGCTGCTGAACTTAATTTTGGGAAGTCTATACAAGTAACATGATTTCTGATCTTCCTGTTGAATGGGCTATGTCGTTCTTGAACAGTAGGTTTCTCTGCCTGGCCATTATTCCAAAACATATATATGCAGTCAGTGAATCAGCTGAAGTTTTTAAGCTCAAGTTAATGAACATTGTGATTTTTGCTCTTACATGGTCTCTGTTTGGAGTTTTTCCCATTTGGGTGGCTGTTGTTGTGTAGTGTGGTAGTTCCCTGCAGAATAACAGGCATGTGTCACCATTTAGTGTAATACCTCAAGAATACAGTGCTAAAGCAAAGAGATAAAACCAATTCAAATCAGGTTGTTGGTATCATTTAGCTACTGAGGTTGTTTCTGTGCAAAAAAGAGAAAAGCTTACCCCCTCTTGGGTATGCACGTTTGAGTTGCAGAGTTTTGCTAGCAGTATGGGGTGTAGTGCCGTCCATGTCGGGTGGGCTTCATCTTGCCAATGACTGTATTTGAATGCTCCCTGTGAGCCCAGGAGCTCTCCCCTGTCTCAGATACTCTTCCTTCCCTCTCCCCTCTATTAAGAGCAGTCAGTCTTTAAAAACACTCAAGCACTGAAGTCCCATAAGAAATTTCTGTTTGTCATTTAGGGCTTACAGTGTTCGAGCTTGAAATTTCAGAGGACGCCAGGCTTTGTGCATAGCACTTCTGTGTAGTCACTGCAGAGTTGGCCTCACCAGCCTGTGTGTCTTGGTGAAGGACAGATCAGTGACATCCCTCAAACTCTAGTTCCTTAGCAGAGTCACTTTGCTTGTGAATGAGGCGTGGTCAGTGATGGCCGAGGCCGTTTTTTTTCTGCCCTGAGGAGAATGGCTGAAATCTCACTGCTGTTACTGGGTGTGAGTGGGTTTTTTTTTCACCCAGCACCAGGTGTTATTCAGTGGTTCTGCAAGTAATAGGGACTGCTGCAAGCTTGCTTTCAGACTTCACTTGGAGGAAGAATGTTCCTTGCAGCTTAATCCCTTCAGCCAGAAGCCCAGCTCCACTTCAGGTCTATAATCCTCACTGGCACTTGAAAGTATTCCTTTCCTGGGGAGACAGGTTCCCTGGAAAATCTTGGATGCTGGTTTGACAGTCTGGCAGTAAGATATGCTGTAGCCATGTACCCTATAGATGCTGTGAATATATCATTTTTGCTTCTTGACTTGTTCTCTGCAGTTCTCCATGAAGTCATGAAGGTCTTACCATGCATTGGATGTATAAGACTTGGTCTTCCTTTGGAGGTGCTCATGCAGTTCTCAATTTATTTGAAACTATGCGCTTGACCCCAAAGAAGAAATAAAATAGACCACAGCAGGGAAGAGGCACCTGGATCTTTTTCTGGGAGATTTTAAAGATATTCATACAGATCGGGGAGAACATAGCAGCCTTTGATATCATAGCAATATCCATCTAAGCAGCCAGTTTACTTATCAGAAGGAGCAAACAAGTCACTATTATTCTTTTGCTTTTGAAAATGCACTGTGCCACTTTACCAGCACTGGGGAAGTTACAGCCATGTGAGAAGTAATCTTTCTTTCAAGGAGATGAGTCTGCTCCCTGCTGCACCAAATCACTTCTTCAATGCTCTCCTCTCATAAGGCTGTCCTTGTTGAGGATGTGTGGGCTCACTTGCATTGGAGCCTGGTGCTTGGTCTATCTGATTAAAAGAAATGGTGAGGGGACTGGTTGAAATGTGGTCTGAGCACCCGGCAGACCTGTGGTGAGAATCATGGTGCTGGCAGGGAAAGCTTTTAAACTTGCATGATCCAGATATCCAAGTGCCTTCCTTCAAATAGAAAGCATCCTGATGAACAGGAATAACAATGTGGGTATGTGGATGTTTTCTTTTTCTATTTTTGTTTTTCTTCTGTTTCCTATAAATGTAAGGCATCAAGGAAGATGGAGACAACAAGTCGCAAGCTGTAGAAAGCTGTGGTGCCCACAAGTTGCTGCAGTCAGAAAGAAATTCTTTAAGTGGATTGACTCTGTGTGAGGAAGACAGAAATGACAATGATTCCCCTACCTTCTTCAGTGTCATGAGCAATAGGTAGTACAGATTTCAATTAAAAGGATTATTGAAGCTTTGTTAAGCCTTTAATAGACTCATTTTTAAGACTCTTCTGTCTGTAAAGCTATATTTGCTGGGATTATTTAAGAAGACTGCATACAACACAGTAATTGAAGATGATGTCATTTGTAGAATTCGGCATACAGAGTGGAGTGTGAGGTTTTCACCTTGTTTGTTTTTACATTGTAATTGCAGGCCTTGCTTCCACACCACTAAATGTGCATTTTCTGCAGTCATTTACTTTAACCTAGTGAAACAAAAGCCATGTTGGTGGTTCCATGTCTATAAATTATAATTCTATGCAAATGAAGTGGGCATGAAATGTAATTTTGCCTTTAGAAGCTGCATAGAAGGAGTTGTTAAGGTAACAGTCTTTTCTGCTTGTTCTGGACAGGTTCAGTGATATTGAACTTCGGGAGGAGGAAGGCATCCCAACAGAAGAGTTTCTGGAGTCATGTTACGCAATTGTGCCTGTTCTGGGTAAGCAGCTCCTCTGACTCCTTTTGACCACTGCCAGCTGCAAGAAAAGATGGAGCAGTTGGTTTGGAGAATTTGTTTCTTTACTGAAGTGATATAGTAGAAACAGTTCCTATCATCAGAATCAATCTGACTAGTACCAGAAGATGTTTCTTAATCCTTTGGTTTATAGAGGATCCACTCTCATTTAGATGGGACCTGTGTATAAGCTGTCTGGAAACCTACGGGTCTATCTGGTACAGCAGTTTCATCCCCTCAAAAGAGTAGCGTGGGTGCCTTACATGTCCAGTACAGCTGACAGCACACCATCAGCTGTACTATCTATTTGATTTTTCCAAAAACTTCTATCTCCAGCTAGTGGCCACCCCCATCTGGTTGGCCCCTGCATCTAACAGTGGATGTGCGGTCCCTGAGAGCATGCACCCTTTTGAAGACTTCCAAATTGTAGGTCAGAGTATTTTAACACTTGTACCAACTGAGGTGGATTGGTTCTACACCAAAGAAAGACCGGTTTATGTCATTCATTTAGTATTCTCCTGCCATCTAGAAGGAACGTTAAGAGAGTAAATGAAATGGATTGTTAGTAAGACAGGAGGACTGGAAAAAGACACAAATATAAAATATGGCTTTTTTTTTTTTTTCTAGACAAGCTGGGACCAACTGTTTTTGCTCCTGTTAAAATGGATTTTGTAGGTAACATCAAGGTAACAGCTTATTTCTAGCACTGATTTTTTTAGTATTTTTTTTTTTCACAAAATATCTATTTTAGGCACTAAAGCTCAAGAATCTTTGTTGTAGGAGTCAATACTGGAAGGCTATTTAATACTTGACAGTGCTACCATCTGTCAGATCAGAATGCTGAAATGCACCTAATTCTGTTCTTAGAATACACGCTGTGTTTAATAAACCCAGTTGTTGTGTGCAAACTTGGAAAATACTTGATTGACTGCCAGGTGATACATCTGTTACACCTAATGAATATGACATAGATTCTGAGCTGCATAGGTTGTAAGTCATGATGTGCTGGTAGCAATATTGACTTAAACGCTAAAACAAATGGAGAGGGGAAAAAAATTCCTTTCCTCAACGAAGTAGGAGGAAGTTAGTGCATTAAGAAGCCGCTTTTCGGGAGGTCAGGGCAGTCTCTGCAGCCTCGCTTCTTGCTCTGGAATTTCTTCCAGCTCTACGTCTGGAAAGGTTTGAAGTGCTGCTTGTGGGACAAGATGTATTCATAGCAAGACTTTTCATAGCTTTTCTTTCAAAAGAAAAAAAAAAAGAAAAGCAAAATATGCTTTCTGAGTATATGATAAGGAACGTTACATACATTCAGATTTGTTAGGTGCAAGGTAAGACAGGTATTCTCTTATCTTCCTTAAGGTAGCCACTGAAAATGAAAACAGCAAGAGAGAAGATTGCTGTTTAAGAAAATAAAATCTTGAATGTTTATTGTCAAGGCAGGTACTGCTTTAATGTGGAAGAAGAATCTGTTTATCTGCCCTTAATATATTTTCTGTCTTTTTTTTTTGTGAGGAGTTGTGCATAACAAACTTGGGAATAAATTAAAAAGCTTAAGCATGACAATGACTGCTAAGTGTAATTAAGAATTTGCAGCTTAGCAGTTGTCAGAAGGTAATCTTGCTTGTACTTGAAGCTTGGGGCAAATGGGACTTTGACTGGAGAACAGCTTGAGTTAACTGCTTTCCACCAGTGTGGAGGATGCCATGTGACCCTAAAGCATTTTGTCAGGCAGAAATGGTGGGTTCCATGTAAATCTTTGACTGAGATGCTTTTTTTTGATTCAATTAGCCGGATGGCTAGCCAGATATGTCTGAGGTGGTGCCCTGGGAAGGTGTGACCAGTATGGCAGGGCAGCCATGCTGTGGGAAGTGTGTGACATGGTTGGGGATCCATGTATCCCTTTGCAGGGAAGAGTCATGGTAAATAAGTGGTATTTACAGGACAGGCCACTGTTTGGTCTTAAAACCTAAAGCTCTGCCTCTTGGTTTTTTCTCCAGAAAATAAACCAGAAGTTTATAACCAACAGAGAAGAGTTTGATACCCTTCAGAAGATAGTGCTCCATGAAGTGAATGCAGGTGTAGCACAAGTTAGAAACTCTGCTACGGAGGCTCTCCTGTGGCTGAAAAGGTAACGGATTCATATCTACTTACACTGTGAACTGCTAATGTGCAGTGAGGGGCCTTTCAACAGCGCAAGTTATGTATATGGAGAAAACTGGTTGTTTTCCACAGGCTCCATCAATCCAGACTGGCTAGTCAAGATTAATGTGTTGTTTGTGATTGTATCACTGCAACTTTGTCAAAAGGCCTGAAAAAGCAATCACAAGCAATGTTTTTTCTTGTAAAAGTGAAGTTACATGACTAGTCCTGCTGGGCCAGAACATCAGGCAGATGATTTCAGGCTGCAGCAGAAATGTGTTAGCAAAGTGTTTTTCTTTGGGCGGGGAGAGAAGCTGGAGGAGGTGGCTGCATTTTTTTTTTTTTTTTTTTCAGATTGAAAATGGCACCTTGATTTTGAGTTTTGTTGCACTTCTGAGTTGTATTGTGGCTTTGAGGGCTTTGTTATACTTTGGGTTACTTCATTATAAACATAGTTTCTTTTTATTTCATGGGTTCGTCGTGACAGAGGCTTAAAGTTCTTGAAAGGGTTTTTGACAGAAGTGAAGAATGGGGAAAAGAATATTCAAACAGCTCTGAGTAAGTGCCAGCTGCTTTATTCTTTGTGTCCTTTTGAATTCACATACTTGGCTATTTTCCTCCTCGTCTAGAATGTGTGTTTTCTTTTTTTTGGTGACTAATGATGCAAGTAATCTCTGAGACATAACTGTATTAAAAATCATAGTTTTTGAAAATGGCTGTCTTCAGGTGACTAGATAATCAGTGTTGATTTAATAATAGCTAAAGTTTCCTTTAATTGGCATGCTTTTGGCAGAGGAGACAGTCACATCCTAGGGAAAAAAAGTGCTTTGTCTCATTCCATTTTCTCTACTTGTTTGCAGTGAGAGCACTCCCAAATTTATAGTAGCTGTTTTGTTATTTTTTTAGTTCCTTGTGAGACTGGCCATCGCTCTTTGAAATCACTTCTTTGCCAATATGACTGTGAACTGCCTGTATCAGTTAGAAGGGAGTTTGTAACAGAAAAGAAAGACTTTTTTCCAGGTACACAATTTCTGACTCTTACCGAGTCAGGCTACTGTCCACAGCAGGTATAAAACAAAATACAAATCCCTCTTAGACTTGGCTTGGTTACTCCTGAGTAAGACCCTCTCTGTATGCATGCAGTCTAATGTTATGATAATCCTTTAAACCAGCCTTTTTTAAGATTTTTTTTTTTTTTCCAGCTTCTTTTAAACAGCTAAGCAGTCCCTCTATAGAATTAATAAGAACAACTACCACACTGAAGTGTGAAAGCAGCTCTTGGGACTGTAAATATACTGCTGCCATATGTGGGTTAAACACCATGGAAAGTCAAGGCACTTATTTGACCTTCTGAGTCTGAAGGCTTCAGCACTGAATTACTACTTGAATTGCTTTGTGTGTGCAGCAGAGCCATGCTGCTGGGTTTTTTTCTCACTTCTTCCTTCCATTTTTCCCCCGAAAAGCTCTTCCATGTCTGTATCACTAGTGCAGCTTCAGTTTACTGTTATAGTTTCTTATTTAGGATTTACTGTGCTATTTGAATCTCAAGTAAACATGGGGTACGTGTTGTCTTTCTACAACCTCCAATATCAAGCTAATGAAATGATGAAAAATGGAATATCCACCCATTCTTATGATCTTCTGAGGAACAAACAGCTTTCTGAAGGGATTTGTCGTTACTTGGCATTTAAATCTAAGCAAAATTTTTTGTCTTCCTATGTTTTTTAATGTCAGGTTTTTAATGATAAGGCAGAGAATAGACTTGTCAGTCCTATCTGCTACGCAATAATCTTTTCCTCCTTGTTTTGTTGCTCTTACTACTGTGTGCTTTTCTCATAGATTCTCACTCCTACTGTAAAAATAGAAAAGCTGCATTCCCAAGTCATTAGACTGATAGATGAGGAGTACTTCATGTTACAGCCTGATAGATGAGGAGTGCTTCATATTAGAGCAAAACTTGTGGCTGTGTTTTACAGCCTTTTTACACTCTTACAATAATAACTGCAGTTTTTTGAGCAAATATCCTAAAGCAGCAAAATGTAGAGGTTCTCTTTCTTGAAGGTGAACAGCTGAGGGAAAGTATAATACAATGTCAGATACTTAAAATTTTAACTGAAGGACAAGGATATGAAATTATGACAGTGACAAACTGAGACTGGGGGAATATGGCTCAAAGATGTTTGGTTTTGTATATGGAAACCTTTGTGTATGAAATTGGAGCTGTCTAGGAGCACAACAAGGGCTTTCATCAAAGGCTACACTCAGGGGCACTCACAAGAGAGATCCTGAGGATTGTTTTAATAATGGCCTGGTGCTTTCTGTTCCAGTGATCCTCAAAACTTGACCCTCAGATGTAAAGAGAGAGTTCTTGGTTAATGCCTGAGCTACCCCAGTTGAGGCTGGCTAACCATCAGCTTGCAGGGTTGTTTCACCCCGTATATTATTTTCTTGGACTTGCACTGAACTGTGAACTAGACAGTAGAAGTGTTAGTTGTGAAGCACAGCTAGTCAGATAAAAATTACATTTGCCTTCCTGTCTGTTAGAACACTTACTTGCCACAGATGAGTTGAAGGAGATTTGACAGCAGAGCTGAGACCCCAGTGCAGAAATTCCAAATCTGTCATCTCCTTTCAGTCATAACTTTGGTGCTCAGAAACAGCCATTATTTGCATCCAGTGGCATGAATATATCCTTAAATAGTTATTTTTAAGCTCTAAGTTCTCTTTGTGATGCAAACTTTAAACTGCCATACGTCTATCTCTTGATATTATTTTTTTTTTCCTTTAAGACAATGCTTATGGAAAGACATTACGGCAGCATCACGGTTGGGTTGTCCGTGGGGTCTTCGCCGTAAGTATTTATTTTGGTTGCTGATAGAGCTGGGGATCTTATTCATGTGATCTTATGTTGTGTGTTAAAATTCTAGGCACTAAAAGGAATAGATTCCTTTGTCAGACCTTATTTTCAAGGTGGGGATTGTGGTTATCACTATGTTTAGTATTGGGCTTTCAGGGTGGAACCTGCTTCCTGGAGCCAAAACAGATGGATCATGCTTGCGTGCTTGTTCTTTTCATTATGTTCTTTTCAGCATAGTCTTTCAGGGCTATTAAGTGAAGAAATGAGGGTTTGAGGTTTCTTTTTTGAAGATTGATCTATGTCTTTATATGTGAGCATTGAAGAAGGATTAGTGCGGAATGTGTCAGGGAATTGAAGTAGAATATATTGGCTAGAGGAAATGGTTTATTTTTTGTCCAGTCTGGCAGCTCCCCCTCGTGTCTGTCACTGGAAGTTATTACTGGAATTAAAAAAGGAAAAAGGAAAGCCTCACCCAGGCAATCGTGACAGAGACTTTGACTGGGAGGAACAGAAATATTGGGGAGAGCTTTCTAAAGAAAATGTTGAGAATGGGACTTCAGTTCTGAAATGTGTGACACTGGGTTGGGAGCTCCCCTAGCAAACTGTACTTCATTTGGGGTATGTATTTAATTAATTTGTAATGTATGCTATTTATTTGTGCAAAATATGATATGCAGACACTTCCTAAAAATTGGTCCTCTCTGAAGATGTCTTAAACTGGGAATCTACACAGAGATAAATTAAAAAAAACCCAAACAAACAAGTCAGCCTTGCTCCTAGTTAAAAATCTTAACGTATGCATGTACACATAAATACATTAAAGCTATGCAGTCTAAGTGCAAAGAGGGATGTCTTAGAATTTTTTTTGTGGCTTTAGTTGGGTTTCTTTTCCTGTTGTTTTGCAAATCTGAAAGCTTTGGTTTCTCTCTCAGTTAGCTTTAAGGGCAGCTCCAACGTATGAAGACTTTGTGGCAGCTCTGTCTGTAGAGGAGTGTGATCCTCATGAAGAAACATTTTACAAAGGGATGCAGAGGGACCTCAACATTTACTTACCAGCCATGGAAAAGCAGCTAAATATCTTGGACACTCTCTATGAAGTACATGGTTTGGAGTCAGATGAGGTGGTATGACCACAGCGAGACTGCGTCTTGAAACTTCAGGGACTGTGTCTGTTGACAAAGATTTCTTTCATTTTGGTGTTTTGTTGGTTTTATTTTTGGACGTAGTTTCTGTTCATTGTATCTTTTCAGGTGGGAAGGGTGTGGTGAGTGTTTTCGGGGAAGGGTATGTATGATTTTTATTTTTTTGTTATGCTTGTTTTGTGTTTAAATGCAGAGGTACTATTTCTCTTTGGGTCATAACTCTGTCAGTGATGAATGTTTTGATGGTTTCTGTCCTGCCTGTGCACATCCTCTTCTCTTCACCTCATAAAAGTAACAGAGCAGAATTTGGCCTTTGCTCCCGTACCTTAGGAGAGAGCCGTGCGTGCAGCATTGCTGTTGGGATGTCAACATGGCGCCCAGGCAGGCACTGCTGGCTCTGGCTCTCCCATGCCCTGTGCCCACTCCCTGCAATGGTGTAGGAGGACAGAGGCAGTGAGAGTTGTTGTTACCCTGGTAGCAGAAGAGAAGGGCAGCTAAATGCCAGCTTGTAAGTATGCGGTGAGTTTGTCCCTTAATTTGGGTTGAAGCTTTTTAATGCAGCACCTTGCCAAATACTACAGAGATCTTCACCACAGGTGTATGTGTTGGGTGGTCTGAGCTTGCCCAGGAAACAGCCTTTGAAACTGGCTGTTGTGTTCCTTGACTAGCTCCCGGTACGTGCCACGGTCTCCCTGTCAGCTCCTGCCAGCGGACCACAAGAAATTTGCTGGCACAGACTGCCAGAGCCCAGCTAATTTCAACAGGGCATTACACAAGCCATTGAATCATAGAATCATTCAGGTTGGAAAAGACCTTTGAGATCGAGTCCAACCGTCAACCCTGCTCTACCAAATACACCCCTAAACCATATCTCCAAGCACTGCATCCAAATGACCTTTGAACACATTAAGGGATGGTGACTCAACCACCTCCCTGGGCAGCCTGTTCCAATGCCTGACAACCCTACCCTTTCAGTAAAAAAATTTTTCTTAATGTCAAGCCTACAAGTCCAGAGGAGGGCCATAAAAATGATCCAGGGGCTGGAGCATCTCTGCTATGACGATAGCTGAGGGCACTGGGATTGTTCAGCCTGGAGAAGAGAAGACTCCGGGGGGACCTTATAGCTGCCTTCCAATACCTGAAGGGAACCTACAGGAAGGCTGGTGAGGGACTTTTTACAAGAGTGTCCAGCAACAGGACAAGAGGAAAAGGTTTTAAGGACAGTAGGTTTAGACTAGATCTTAGGAAGAAGTTCTTTATTACGAGGGTGGTGAGACTCTGGACTAGATTGCCCAGAGATGTTGTGGATGCCCCCTCCCTGGAGGTGTTCAAGGCCAGGTTAGATGAGGCCTTGAGCAACCTAGTCTAGTTGAGAGGTGCCCCTGCCCATGGCAGGGAGGTTGGACTAGATGATCTCTAGGTTCCCTTCCAACCTAAGCTGTTCTGTGATTCTATGATTCTATACCTACCCTGGTGCAGCTTGAGTCTGTTCCCTCTTGTTCTATCATTAATTACCCGTGAGAAGAGACCAGCACCTACCTCTCTACAATGTCCTCTCAGGTAGCTGTAGAGAGCAATTAGGTCTCCTTTCAGCCTCCTTTTCTTAAGACTAAATAGCCCCAGTTCCCTCAGCTGCTCTTCAATAAGACTTCTTCTCTAGGCCTTTCACCATCTTTGTTGCCCTTCTCTGCACTCTCTCCAGCACCTCAATGTCTTTCTTGTGTTGAGGTGCCCCAAACTGAACGCAGTACTCAAGGTGTGGCCTCACCAAGGCAGAGTACAGGGGGACGATCACCTCCCTACTCCTGCTGGCCACAGTATTCCTAATACAAGCCAGGACGCTATTGGCTTTTTTGGCCACCTGGGTACACTGCTGACTCATATTCAGACACTTGTCAATCAACCACTCTTCCCCAAGCCTGTAGCATTGCATGTGGCCCAGGTGCAGGACCCAGCACTTCACCTTGTTGCTCACACAGCTGGCCTCAGTCTATTGATCCAGCCTGTCCAAGTCCCTCTGCAGAGCCTCCCTAACCTCAAGCAGATCAACACTCCCACCTAACTTGGTGTCGTCTGCAAACTTACTAAGGGTGCATTCTATCCCTTCGATGAGCTCATTGATAAAGATGTTAAACAGAAGTGACCCTAGTACTGACCCCTGCGGAGCACCACTTGTGACTGGCCGCCAGCTGGATTTAACTCCGTTGAGCACCACTCTCTGGGCCCGGCGTGCAGCCAGTGTTTTACCCAGCGGAGTGTATGTTCGTCCAAGCCATGAGCAACCAGTTTCTTCACTAGCATTCCATGGGAAACAGTGTCGAAGGCTTTACGGAGGTCAAGGTAAACAATATCCACAGCCTTTCCCTCATCCATCAGGCAGGTCATCTTGTCATAGAAGGAGATCAGGTTCGTTAAGCAGGACCTGCCTTTCATAAACCCATGCTGACTGGGCCTGATCACCTGGTTGTTCTGTAAATGGCTCATGATGACACTCAAGATGATCTGCTCCATGACCTTCCCTGGCACCGAGGTCAGGCTGACAGGTCTGTAGTTCCCTGGATCCTCCTTTCAGCCTTTCTTGTAGATGGGTGTCACATTTGCTATTCTCTAGTCCACTGGGACCTCCCCAGTTAGCAAGGACTTCTGGTAGATGATGGAAAGAGGCTTTAAGATCATGTCCATCATCCTGGTTTATTAAGGTTTTGGTGGATTTTTCTATTTTGGGTTTATTGTTTTCTTAAATCAAATTCACACAAAAAGGTAGTATTTCCTTTTAAATTGAATGCAACAGTTTAAACAGATTTAATTGAAATCCTTCCTAGGCTGCCATTATGGGCAGAGACTTCATGAAAGTGGACCTGAAATGAGTAAAGCATAGGGGAAGCTAGAATTTGTTACACATTGGGCCAATAACAAACCTTAAAATCTGAAAGGATGTAGAAGTGACTAGAAACTAAAAAAGTAAGATTTGCTTTTTTTTCTTGTTTTGCTGATACAGATAAAAATGTGCTCCTTAACACTGCTGCTATTAAAAATAGTAAAGTCCTTTTAGCTAGTGGTATGGTTAAGGACAAAATTCCTAGTTTTGTTGATGACTAGAAGGCTGTCTGTGAATTATTGACTGCCCATTCAAGGCATAAGCAGGTCTCTCAGTGGCGACCTAGGGCTTCAGATGGGTTTGTGCAAAGAGTTAACTCATGTGCAGGAGGAGAGAAGACTGTGCTAATGGGTACTTACTAAATCTTCATCAATATAGGAGAAGTCAATGTCGCCACACTCACAGAAGTGTTGGCTTTTGCTAGGCTAAAACCCATGTTCTCAGTGAAATGAATGTACTGCAGGCCTGCTGCCCTGCATAGCTCTGTGACAGGAGCCTCTCTGCACACCGAATACTTGATCCTTTCTAAAGAGCCTAACGTTGTGAGCTTTAAGAAAAGCATATGATGCTTGAAGAAAAGACCAAACATCACACTTGGTCTATAAAGCAAGATACCAGGACTCTAATTAGGCATTTAAACAATGTGACTTCCTTGTTCCTGTCATCTTCTCTGAGTTGTGCCTATCTGTAGTTCCTTTGTACTCCAAGACGAATCAGAAGGATGGAGGGCTTTTAGTTTTTTGGATTTTCTTAATCTAAGTAGTATATATTTGTGTTTGAGTACAAAGTCAAAACTTTTGACCAAAGCTCCATTCAATTATTTCACTACTTGCCATGCCAAAAATGAAGCAGAGAGCCTTTGGGATTCAGCCGTCTACTTCTTCTAAGCATGAATGCAAAGAAACCACCCCTGTAGTAAAACAACCAACTCTCCACCCTTCGTGGTTTCCTCAAGGTTTTCAGCTGTTATGTGGGAAACTTTGCTGTAATAGTTTTTAGCTCTGGGAAGGTAGTGGAGACCACATTTCCACAAAATATCAGCTGGGATATGAGGAGAGCAGAAAGAGATCCCTCTTCTTTAGAAATCGAGAATGAGATCATGATGAAAATTTACTTCCCTTTTTGCTCTAAGCTTTTCCAGTAGCAGGAAAGTGTGTTCAGCACTTAGTCTTGCAAGTATTTTATTAGGAGAACCAACTAGTTTATTAGTAGTACATCAGACCCAATGTTTGATGCAAAAAGTCAGGAGGCTTTATTTCATAGAGAACTTAACAGCTTTGTTGGGCCATTAGCCTCAGCAGTTACTAACTTCTACCACTCTTCTTTCTTCTAACCAATAGAGAGTGGTCCACATTGCATATCCTGTAATCAGCATGGCATTCTGCCTCAAAGCAGGCTTTCTCGTCTTGCTTTTCTGTGTGAAGTTGGTCTTTCTGAACTCTGGAATTGGTGCTTGAGGACGTTCTTAGGAGACCCCTGTGTGCTGCTTGTTGAACAGGGGACTTGTAAGAGAAGGAATTGAGCAAGGTCTCCTTGCCTTCAAAACTTGTACTTCACCATGCATTGCTCTTGCAGGGCGTTGAGTACTTCTAAGACTTACGAATGCTATCTTTCCAGTCAAACCACCACTGAGAAAGAAACCCATACAGCATGTTGCAGCACTGAACTCCAAGTTATACCTCTAAGGATACAATAGACCAGATGACAAAGTGGAAGCAAATACACTGCTAGACAATTAGCTTCTTTCTTTTTCTGTGATGTCAGGAAAAGCAGAGGATTGCTTTTTATTTTAGCAATTGTAGAGAAACAAGTGACTCACTTTTGGCCTTCGAATTTAGGATTGGAGAGAAGGTCAATGTTTTCTTTTTAATTTGATTGGTTCATTGATTGGTTAGGGTTGTTTTGTGTTTGTTTTTTTTTAACGGCTGACGTTTATGAACAACTGACCTGCATACTGATAGTGGTCCATGTGACTCTCAGATAACAGCACCTTTGCTCTGTATACTTTACATGAACTGCTTTGGTTTCTTAAACTGCACTAGTCTAAGGTTTTGCGTCCCTTTCCTTTAGAAATGCTTTTGGCTGTTTCCTTCAATGTCTAACAGTTGCA